AACCTGTGACCTGTAATTATGTTAAATAAGTGAAAGTGGGTCTTACTAACATTGTACGGAAGATGCAACATGGCATGGCATTACACTCGACAGCCTTCCATTTCCCCCCAACTGTAATGATTAGTACCCGGGATCGAATCAGTGATGCATAGGATTCGAAGCCAGCGTTATATCCACTCGACCACCGTAAACTTTAATGTATAAACTGACTTTGATTTATTATTGATCAATCTTGAATTATTAGTTATCAAGAACACACACGATGGTAACGGGGAAGAACTTGTAAGAGATATCGAAATTTTACCCTTTTTCTACAAGAGATTTACTATTTGGTTTTACAAGCACAGCGAGCATCACACTCCAAACTCCATCACTCAGATAAACATATGACCTTTTGTCTGGTTTACGAGGTCCTAGCAAATTGGGCGCTGACAGTGTGTGTATGAACCTATTATAAACTATATTATGATGTCACCCCACAACGACACAGTGAGCTATTAACGGGGATGGCTTGGTATTCTGACAGCAGTACGTTTGTTTAGTATAGATATATTTCATCTACATCAGCTGACCATAGAGTACTCACACACACACACACACACACACACACAGAGTTTTATATATAGTATGTGTGTGATGAACTGTTAACTGTGTCGTATTTTGAGACAACCTAAAATGGAATCAAATGTTTTGGAAAATATGAAATTGATGCGATAGAAATAATGGGAAACGTTCAGTTGTATAGTTGGTCATCTGGGCTTTAACAATTTAATAAAGGAATCCACCCCCAAAAAAAACAATGAAAAATGAAAAATTGTAACGATGTGAACTTTTTAAAAACATATGAAGGCTATTGATGATATATTAAGATATATTGTGAGAAATGTAGTCTTTTAGTAATGTGAGGCTTGGGGTTATGCGAGTCTTGATATGTGAGTTTTGAGGTTTTGAGTCTTGATATGTGAGTTTTGAAGTTGTTGAGTCTTGATATGTGAGTCATCTGTTATGTGAGGTATTTGTTCTGTGAGTTTTATGTTATGTCAGCCTTATATTATGTGAGTTATGTTATGTGAGACTTATATTATGTGAGCCTGACGTCATGTACAGTATACCTGACAGCACATACCCAGCGATTTATTAACACAGATTATCATTCTCCTCATCATAGCTGGATGAAAATAACATTCTCCCACGTTCATGATGGCATAAAGTTCAAATGCCATGCGAGGGCGGTTCAATACACCTTTGTTTACGACACATCAGTCATAGTACACACTCGAACTCCCACACAGGTAACGCCATTTACCTGTTCCATTCACCATTAATCAACTGAGGTGTGTTAATTTCCCGTACACTTTTAGTATAGATGTACAGTAGCTAAAACAACTATCTGTGTATACTTTGTGGGAAACAATATGATACCATGGACGATAGATATTGCTATATGAGGGCTGTCACTACACGTAAAATTTCGGAACATATCGACCCCCCAACACCTGCTACTACTGGT